GAGAGTGAGAGTGAGAGTGAGAGAGAGAGAGTGAGAGAGAGAGAGAGAGAGAGAGTGTTTTCAGTGCATAGTGCTTTGCACACAGCTAGCTCCCGGTCAGCGTGTAACGTTAATTAGCACGAGCAGAACATGTCTACGGATTTGCATTCACCTCCTGCTCTGATGAGGGACGAGTGAGAGTTATAGAGGACATGAGGTGGAAGCTCACAGATGAGTCTGAGAGAGTTCACTATGAGATGAAAAGTTCCCTATTCAGATAACACAGTGAGCAGGACCGCCAAGGACTCTTAGCTAATGTAAATGTTTAATCTCCCAAGTCAAAGGTTCTCTGCATGAAAAAATGCCTTCCTCTCACACACACACGCACCAGGGTTATCTTTTTGCATTTTAAATTACTAGCACTATTTTCCAATTTATGCACTAACATTTCAGTCAGTTTTTCCATCCTTTTTAGTAATTAAAACAATTTAATAAATATCACAACAGCTATTATTAGTATATAAAAAAAAAAATAGTAAGAAAACGTTATTATCAATGATGATGCTAATAATAATAATAAATGCATTTATCACACATTTTTTCCAAAGCGACATACAATGCATTCAAGGTATATCTTTGACCATTTCATGCATTCCCTGGGAATCAAACCCTTGACCTTGTTATTGAAATGATATAATTTAATTATATTATATAATTATTTTAATAATTATTACATTAATATAATAATGCTGTTATTTTTGCAATTTAATGGCCTAATAATGACTTTTGCTTAATTTTGATGGTATTTTTTGTATTTTGTTACTGTACTGATCTTTTTATTGTAAAGCACTTTGTAACTTTGTTTTGAAAGGTGCTATATAAATAAATGTTTACTAATAAAATATTACTACATAAAATGATAATTAGATAAAATATGATTTTCTGCCTTTATCAACCACTAGTTGTTTAATTTTTTTTTAAATTTCTTTGTTTACATTTTTGCTTGCCATTTAAATTCAGTGTTTTTAAACCAATAATTTATATTAGCTCAGTTAATAATAATAATAATAATAATCAAGTCAAATATACATACACACATACAAAATGCATGTCCTGGAGTCATGTTTTACAGATATACTGCTCTGAATTTGAGTTTTTCTGAAGTCTTGATATACCAGCACATCTTGTTTGCTTGTTGGCCCTCTGGCTATCAACACAGCAATAATGTCCATTTCAAACCTGTCACTATAACCTATGTCCATCTTGGATGACTGATCCACTGATCCTCTGCTGGAACCATAACATTTCCATTTTCACCATTTCATTTGAACCACTGTAATTGTCACTTGTTTGGTGGACAAAAGACTCACAGTTTGAGCTGTGAATATTTATAAGAATGTAATAAAAATGTGAGAATCCTGTACTGCAGGACTGCAGGAAATTTTAATG